CCCTGGATATAGAAGCCAATTGGTTCCCCTCAAGTACCCAATTTAGCCTAATAATTGGGATGGTATTTGGATCAAGGCAGGCAATTTTTTTTTTACTGTCCTTAAAAATGCTTTTGAATTTTTCTTCCAGAAAGAAGGAAGTGGATGAATGGATGGATGGATAGATGGATGGATATGAGACTAAATTAATATCAGATTATCCCTGCCGGTTGAAAGCAGCTCCTTAAAAGTTTCATGCAGAAATGAGCTTTTCTCATTAGGTGCTTTCTGGTGTTTTTCTTCCTTTTGCTGGAGTTCCCCTACATGAGAAGCAATATTTTCCCCATGAGCTGCTTAGTGATTACCTATGTGCGTTGGAATGTTTTGGTTGGATTTTTTTTGAACCCATAAGGACTAAAAAACTTTAAATGAAAGTTGGGAGTTTCTAAGGATACTGAATTCTTCTACAAGAAATATAACCTTTGTAATTTTATGGTAGGATGTGTTAAAAGTAGGAAAGTTGTTGTTATAATGTTGAGGCATACAGCATATATTATTTGCAATTGTCCATTGGCATGGGGGGTCTGCTTGGCTGTGCCCATTGCCAGCATAAGCGCCTGGTTGCGTTGCTCAGTGGAAAAACTCAATAATTCTGTCATTTGTGTCAAGATGAGTTTTGCTCAATTGGGCATTTGTCAAATATGTTGACTTTTCTGGTCCTGATCATCCATGCTTGTGTGTGTGTGTGTGTGTGTGTGTTTAGGGAAGGAGCTGGCAGATTAAAATCCAGGATCCCAGTTGAGAAAAACTCCTCCCTTAGGAGCGAGACTATATACTTTCCGCCCCTTCTGTGTGGTACATTGGACAGCTCACTTGCTCCTTTGATGAATGAACAGTCTTCCCTTTCCCTCAGCTTCCTTCTCTTGGTTGTACGAAGGAAGGAATTATTGGGGTGACTTCTGATCCCTCTTTCAGGGAGGGGACATCGGCAGCCCCTTTGTAGGTTTGTGTTCTTTAGCTGTAAACTATTCCTCCAACCTCATTTTTGTCTCCATATAACTCTCATTTCCCATTTCAGGGCACCAGGAAGCCACCCAAAACTCCGGATCTGTCCATGGTGCTGAACCTTTTATATGGATTATTATTTTTTTGCTGCAGGCTAGAAACCAGCCAGCCAAGCAATTTATTGCTCTTTTGATGCAAGGGGGGAAAAAAAAACACACACACATGAGAACAGAAGGTTCTGCCTTAAAGGAAGCTTGAGGTAGCTTAAAAAGCAAGACAATAAAAGGCAGTGTAGAAAAAGAAAAATGGACGTTCCGGCCTGTAGGCAAAACAGGCCTTTGGCTTGATTATGGTTTCTTGATCAGAATTGGCTAAGTTCAGGGAACAAGTCACAGGGAAGCAAACCACATTATGGGTTGTATTATAGAGTTGTGTGGATAAGGCCTTTGCTTCATTGTTCAGCCAATATGACCCCTTCCCTCAAGTGCAGCCTGGACCCCTGAAATATTAACTGAGGGGAAAATAAGAGAAGTTGATAGGGAATAAATGGAGGTCTGCTACTTGGAGTTACAGGGACGTGGTGGCTCAGTGGCTAAGACGCTGAGCTTGTCGATCAAAAAGGTCAGCAATTCGGCAGTTCGAATCCCTAGCACCACGTAACGGAGTGAGCTCCCATTATTTGTCCCAGCTTCTGCCAACCTAGCAGTTCGAAAGCATGTAAAAAAAAAGTGCAAGTAGAAAAATAGGGACCCCTTTCCCTTTGGTGGGAAGGGAGCAGCGTTCTGTGCGCCTTTGGCGTTTAGTCATGTCAGCCACGGAGACGTCTTTGGACAGTGCTGGCTCTTCGGCTTTGGAACGGAGATGAGTACTGCCCCCTAGAGCCAGGAATGAGTAGCACGTGTGTGCGAGGGGAATCTTTACCTTACTTGGAGTTGCTACCAAATAACAAATATCCTCTAAACTGGCTTCTTAAAAAGAGTAAAATGAAACTTTATTGAGAAAGGCTTTCACTGTGTTTCTCAGCTTCAACAATTTTAAGATACAAGACTTCCAACTATTCCTGTAGTGACCATTTCAAGTTACAACAGCACTGGCAAAAATGACTTACAACCGCTCCTCCCGTTTATGACCGTGGCAGCATCCCCACAGCCCAGGGTGGATAAAAATTGATGATTTTTTAAAAAAAAGAATAGAAAAATCTGATTTTTTAAAATTTAAATCTGATTTTTTTAAAAATCAAATTTATTTTAATAAAATGATCATGAAACAAAAATCTATCTAAAGATTGTTTTCTATTTAAGATACATTCATAATTTAGTTTAATCGCCATGAAAGGGAGCTCAGTTACACAGCATGAGGCTGTCTATGTTGCAATATTTACATTTTGGGTAAACTCAGTGAATCCAAGCTCCGCAAGCTGAGATAACATGCATTCCCACAATGTCACAGCAGAGATGACAGTTGCTCTACATTATGATTTAAATCGAGTTGATTTAAATCAAGCCTTTTTTTACTAGTGATTTAAATCGCGATTTAAATCAAATCCACCCTGCCACAGCCACATGATTAAAATTTACCACCATGTAGTTATGACGGTTGTGGTGTTATGGGAGGGCCATGTAATCGCCATTTCCTTTGCAACCTTCCCAGCTGGCTTCCAACAAGCAGAGTCAAAGGGCAGCCTGATTAGTTTAACAACCATGGCAAAAATATCGTAAAATCGGGCACGAGTCATTTAACATTTGAGACTTTCAAGAAGAGATTGGACTGCCATTTGTCAGAAATGTCATTTGTCAGAAATGATGTAGGGTCTCCTGCTTGGGCAGGGGGTTGGACTAGATGACCTACAAGGTCCCTTCCAACTCTGATTATTTGTTATCTTAAAACATCTGCTTTGCTCAACAATTTTGGTCCCAGTTATACTCCTACGTCAAGGCCTGCTTGTACCGTCTCCTTCCCTAAACTGAAGGGATCCCAAAGTTCTTTTTACAGGCCATTTCCCTGGCTCTGGACCCCAACCTACAAGAGAAGTCCCAGTGAACTCAATGGGTTTATTTCGGGGGAGGGATGCGTGATTTTACACTGTGAGTGCATGTTTAAGAGTTGCATCTAGAACAAGGGGGTCAAAAGACTCAGGCTGGGAACTGCAATTGTGCGACATCATGCCCAGGGATTCGATTGTACAGTTGTAGCCTCCATCTTCATATTTTTCATCTCCTCTGCCCTTTTCGACCCTGTCAAATGCTTGCCAGGGAATTACCACTCCCATAATCCCCAGCCATCACAGTCTTTACCTTACAAAGTAATGCATTTGGGAGTAGGAATCTATCTAATTAGCCACTAGCAGTCAAAAATGACTTACTGGCACTGAATCAATCTACAATTTAAATTTAATTGGGCCGCTTAGAGCTTCTTACGTAGTTTTGTGTATACACCCTATGTGTCAGTTGTTGGGTTCATGGCCAGTGAGCTCAGCTTGTTAATTTGGGGGTGGCTTTCGATCACTCTTCCTAGCCTACCTCACAGGGTGGTTGTCCCAAAGGTGCTTTTTCCAAGAAGCAACTGGACTTTCTGGTTTTTCTTTGAAGACGTTTTGCTTCTCTTCCAAGAAGCTTCTTCAGCTCTGACTTGGATGGTGGGGAAGGGAAGGATTTATACTTTCTTGCTGGGTTGGAGATGAATCTGTCCAGAAGTCTGTGGAGATTCTTAGTCATCCAGATCGTGATTGTCCCAAAAGTTTCTTTTCAGGAGGCAAATGGACTTTTCTTGTTTTTTTTCTTTGAAGACATTTCGCTTCTCGTCCAAGAAGCTTCTGAGCTGAAGAAGCTTCTTGGACGAGAAGCAAAATGTCTTCAAAAGGAAAAAACAACAACAACAGTTGCCTCTTGAAAAAAAGCACCTTTGGGACAACCTTGATCTGATGCCTGAGAATTTCCTTAGACCAGGGGCCTTCAAACTTGGCAACTTTAAGACTTGTGGATTTCAATTCCCAGAATTCCTCCTCCAGTCATGTTTAGCTCAGGAATTCTGGGAGCTGAAGTCTAGAAGTCTTAAAGCTGTCAAGTTTGAAGACCCCGGCCTTAGACACAAGGGTGGTTGTAAGAATTTAACAAGGGGAGGGGGTGCATGGAGGACATAAAACACATGAGCACCTGAAATATTTCCAGTGGAACCCAAAAGGCGACTGTGGGACCCACAGGGCGCCTGTCCCCCCTCCCGCATGCCAGGAATTCGCTCCTCTCGGTCTGCCATCTGCCCCCTCCCCCAGCCGAACTCTAACCCAAAGGTCTCCAAACTTGGCAGCTTTTAGACTTGTGGACTTCAACTCCCAGAATTCCTCCTCCAGTCATGTTAGCTCAAGAATTCTGGGAGTTGAAGTCCACAAGTCTTAAACTTGCCAAGTTTGAAGAGCCTTGCTCTATTCTATTCTACTCTACTCTACTCTACTCTACTCTATCCTATTCTATTCTATTCTATCTATCCATTCTATGCTATCTCTATCTATTCTACCTCCCTTTCTCTATCTATTCCAGGGGGTCTTCAAACTTGGCAGCTTTAAGACTTGTGGACTTCAACTCCCGGAATTCCTCCTCCAGTCGTGTTAGCTCAGGAATTCTGGGAGTTGAAGTCCACAAGTCTTACAGCTGTCAAGTTTGGGGACCCTTGCGCGTGGTAACCCTTCGCAGCCCCCAGCAGGGGCTGTGGACCCGGGCAGCTCTTCCCTGGGCCGCCAGGTGGCGCTGCGCCCAATGCCTTCGCATATACTGCTGCTGCTGCCGCTGCTGCTGCCGCCTGAGTCGGCGGCTGGCGCGGCGTCTGGTTTCAGCGGAGCAGCCTGCAGGGCTGCGAGTGGAGTGGCTGGCGTTCCCCCGAAGCCCCGCCCGGCCAGCGAGGCGGCGGAGCTGCTAACGTGGCTGGGCGGCGGAGCCGGCGAGCTCCAGCGGTTTGCAAGGCGTCTGGCTGGGGAGGGGGCGGTGGTAGTGGTGGTGGAGTGGGGGGGGGGGGGAGCCGCCCCGGGAAGCCCAGCCGCCGCCGCCGCCGCCGCTGTTGCCGCCTCCCCGGCCATGCAGAAGCTGCTGCAGCAATTGCCCGTCGGCGCAGTCCACTTGGTCAAGGCGCCGCCGGCGGGCACCAAGGAGGCCAAGAGCCCCGTGCTGGTACCCGATGGAGCGCCGCAGAGCTGGTACCACACGCTGGAAGGCGACGAGCTGAGGCTGCTGAAGGGGCCCGACCTGGAGGCCGCCCCCGCCGGCCAACAGCAGCAGCAGCAGCAACAGCAGCAGCAGCAGGAGCGCAGCTTGGAGGGCAGCGTGGCGCAGCCGCTCCGGTAGAGCGAGTGGAGGGGGGGGGGGGGGAAAAGGGGCGGGGAGGGGCTTGGCTCAGCCCAGGGGACCAGCGAACCTGCCTTCCCCCCCCCCCATCCTGCCAATCGGGGGAGGGTCAGCCCTCTGAGTTCTGGGTTGCATTCCCAAGACCAAGTAGACCCGGGTGTGCCACCCAGCCGCTCGCTCTCGTGTCAGACTTAAACTTGTGAGAAGTGAGCTGGGGCTCTCCCTTCGCCTTAGAGGCTTTTGGGTGTGCAACAGGAGGCAGCCTCACAACGGGGAACCCCTGGCTAAGGGGGTTTTGTGAAACTGACCCTTTGGGAGAGATTCAGGTGGGTGGTGAGAATGGAAGGAAAAAAGGGTGAAGTAGAACCTCTCTTGGGTGGCATGCAAAGGCAGCTGAGGGGTTGGGTTCACACAACTCTCATAGCCTGGGGAAGAAGACCTAATGCAGTAAGTGACTATGTTGGCCTCACAAGGCTAAGCTGGGTTGACCCGAGTTAGTGGGAATCACAGCTTTGGGCAAATGTAGCTTGCAGCTCATGGCTGCGTTGCCGAAATCTTGAAAACTGATTATAATTCAGGGAGTGGAGATATAACGGCTGACGTTATAAACACCAAAGCTGTGAGTGTTGGGTGAATCTTGGATTGTGTTGATTCAGCTTAACCCCTTATGCGTATAAGGGAAGGCGAGAAATGCAAAATGTGCCCTGCTGCGTTTGTATTTTAATGCGGGACCCCAGAGACAGCAGGATAATTTGATAATCGCACATTCGTAATTCCCTAAACTGTATAATCCAGAGTTAGGAGCCTCCAAATTTAGCCACTTTAAGACTTGTGGGCTTCAGCTCCCAGAATTCCCCAGCCAGCATGGCTGGCTGGGGAATTCCGGGAGTTGAAGTCCACAAGTCTTAAAGTCGCCATCTTTGGAGACCGCTGATCCAGAGTATTGTTGCATTTCCTTACTGGAGCTCCGACGGAGTCAGTTCAGACATTTTACTTCCTTCATCTGTTGGGTTCACCTCTGTAATCAATCATGGCTTGTTTAATCATGGTCTCTTTCTGTCATAACAGACCATGTGAGCTCAGCCATTGTGGCTTATAAAACAAGGGCTAGGACTTAGTCACACCGGTTGCATTTTAAGGTTGCATTTCCAGGCCACAGACAGTCTCTTCTAAGTTACCATTCTATAGTATTATTTCATACACAACCCTCCCTTTTTACTGTTGAATTACCACCTTTCTACTGCTTTACACCATCTTATATTAGGGTCTAGGGGGCAGTGGTTTCATTGGCAATGTCTGCTGAATGCATTCAGACATGCAAAGGCTTTCCTTGACTGGCTTGGATGTTACTTTCAGCTTGGTGCAAGATGTGACCATCGTGGTTTTAAAGTGTGGCTTATTGGATTGAACTTTGGCTGGATTCGCCAGTTTTGCTGAGCTGTGAATCAAGCCAGGTTCCTGCAGCCAGCTCAGTCACAGTGAAACAAGCCATTTTCTTAGTGTTACTTTTCTCGCTCCATCTGCCTTCTCACTTTCGTGTTGCTCCGGATGAATTCACCGTGTGATAAATATTTCACAGCCCTTTGTGGGATTGGATTGCTTGGGTATAAACAAGTCCCTGAGAAGATCAAATTCCTTCAACCAGCCCCTGAGATCAAATTCCACTCCAGGTGGTGTGACCGATAAGATCCCTTCTACAGGTAGCCCTGGCCTTAACGACCATAATTAAACCCAATATGTTGGTCCTGAGTTGTGATGATCCTTAAGCATGTTACATGTGGCCGCACCTAATTTTAGAGAGTTGAATTCTGTTTTGGACTGAATATTCATCGAGTTAACACCCTTTGTTATTTTCATTAAGCCTAAATATGTTGGCATATATTTAGTTGGCACATATTTTTGTGAGTATCTTTCTTTTTCACCCAGTGATAAAGAACTTTAATTTTTGGAAGGTGGACAGCAATTGAGCTGCCGTTTTGGGAAGTGTTTCTCCATCTTTCCAACTTTAAGCTGTGTTGGCTTCAATTCCCTAAATTGCCCCAGCCAGCATGCTTAAAATGATGGAGATTGGAAAATGGTGGCTTCCTTCTTCCAGGTTTTCTTTAGTTTAGAATTGGGAACTTAATCTCTTCTCCCCCTTCCCTACCATCTGCCTTTCTTTTCCGTACCTAATTTTATGACCTATTTTGCAGCGGTCATTAAGTGGATACTGCGATTATTAAAGGAACCCATTGTTCGCTGTGGAGTGTTTTTGCTGGGGAAACCGGAAGTAAAAGACAATTTCTGGCAAAAAAAACTCATTGTAAATTGTGGTGGTGTGGTTGCAAAAGGCTGCAAATGACTGTAAACTTGGGCTGGGATATGGACACTTGACCATGAGCCAAATTTGAATCTAGATCATAAGTAGCTTTTTTTTTGGGGGGGGGGGGGTCTAACGTAACTGCAAATGGTCATTACGCAACTGGTCATAAGACAAGGTTTACATGTATTTCTTCATCTTGTCTCTGCCATGTTTTGGAGTCTCCTGCCAAGCCCAGGTCAAAGGAACAATTGTGGGGTTCACACAAGGCAGTAAGCCTCTATCTTGGTGGGTAGGGATTGAGGAAGGTATATGAATCCAGCCATTATATTTTATGAATCACGGCTTGTACGTATCTCAGCATTATGGCCTTTTGATCAAGCCATGGCTCTGCATGATTGAATCCTGGCCATGGTTGTGTTCACGAATGAACTCAGCCATGGTTGGTTGACTAAACCATGATTAGTTGGATTCATGTAACCCTCAGCTAAAATCTGAGCAAACCCCATAATTGCTTATATGCCCAGTTGAATAAACCCAATTGAAAGATTTGACTTTTATGTTGGGAAGAAGAGCGTTGAATTCTGTTTTGGACTGAATATTCATAGAGTTAATACCCTTTGTTATTTTCATTAAGCCTAAATATGTTGGCATATATTTAGTTGGCACATATTTTTGTGAGTATCTTTCTTTTTCACCCAGTGATAAAGATCTTTAATCTTTGGAAGGTGGACAGCAATTGAGCTGCCGTTTTGGGAAGTGTTTCTCCATCTTTCCAACTTTAAGCTGTGTTGGCTTCAATTCCCTAAATTGCCCCAGCCAGCATGCTTAAAATGATGGAGATTGAAAAATGGTGGCTTCCTTCTTCCAGGTTTTCTTTAGTTTAGAACTGGGAACTTAATCTCTTCTCCCCCTTCCCTACCATCTGCCTTTCTTTTCCCTGGCTCCCTCCACTGAGTTGGACATAGCTCCCAGCTCAACCGAGGTGAGGATTCAGCCCCTGAAGGCTACCAAGTTCATCAGATGCTGCGACAAATACATTGGGACTCCCCTTGTTTTTAATTCCTGCAACCATCTCTGTGTTTCTTTCCAGACATGATGATCTGAAGGAGATGCTGGACAGCAACAAGGATTCCTTGAAGCTGGAAGCAATGAAGAGGATTGTGGCCGTGAGTATCTCTTCGGTGCTATCACACCTGCTTAAGATACTCATCCTTTGATTATGATGGCCAAGACCCAGCTTGTGGTCCAGCATGAAGATGATGATGATGATAATAATAATAATAACAGCTTATATCCTCCGATGTTACCTTAACAGTTCCTAGGTCCTTGGTTAGGATTTGAGCTGCTGAGCTATCAACCAGCCCCAAAGGCTGTGAATCTCACTAAAGATTAACCAATAACAACCACAACCAGAACAATAACAATAATGATAATACTTTATTGTCATTGTACGTATATACACAGCATACACATACAACAAAATTCACATAACACCTAGAGACCAGACTCAACATGCACGCACACATGATAATCCCCAAACACACACACACACACACACACCAAAATTCCCCGCCTCCTAAAAACACACCAGCATCCACACAACAGACTAAGTAATGCTGTCCAACAGCTCACTGATGGTGGCCCTTAAGTTCATTGTCAAGGGCAATTATAGCTCTGGGATAAAAACTGTTCAGAAAACGTGTGGTCCGAGTTTTCATTGTTCTGTATCTTCTGGAAGGCAACAGTTCACAAAGATTGTGAGCAGGATGGGAAGAGTCTCTGAGAATGTGCGACTTCCTCAAACAGCGAGATGCGAAGATGTCATCCAGGGCTGGGAGCTGGAGCCCGATGATATTCTGGGCAGTTTTAATGATTCTCTGTAGAGCTTTTTTGTCCGCTGCAGAGCTGCTCCCGTAGGGTGCAAAGATGCCGTATGTCAGGACACTCTCAATGGTGTTGCGGTAGTAGGACCGAAGTAGATGCCGAGATAGATTTATCTTCCTGAGCATTCTCAGGAAGTGCAGCCTCTTCTTCTGTGCCTCCTTCACAAGCATGTTAGCCTTCATAGTCCATGAGAGGTCCTCCGAGATAGAAGTGCCCAGAAATTTAAAACTGCCAACCCTCTTCACCTCCTCGCCATCTATGTATAATGGTAAATGTACATCTCTCTTCCTCTTGAAGTCAATTATAAGTTCTTTAGTTTTCTGTGGTGTTAAGTTCTCTCCTTCTGTTTATGGAGTCGAAGATCCAGCATCCTCTCCTTTCTGGTTTGAGGGACTTGCGCGAACGTTATCCTTTCTCTTTTCTCCTCTCCATTTAATGATGACCTTTTGGGATTGTTTCCTTGTCAAAAAAAATACAATCCCTCGGGGTTTGATGAACAGGATCTTGAAGCCAAAAATGACATGAGAGTGTGTCATCTCATACCTTTTATATAAAGCAGTATTTCTCAACCTTAACAGCTTTTAAGATGAGTGGATTTCATCTCCCAGAACCCATGGCTGGCTGGGGAAATTCTGGAAGTTGAAGTCCACTCATCTTAAAATTGCTAAATTGAGAAACATAGATTTAAAGTATTGAGAGAGGAATAGGATGCCATCTCAAGAAGGTTCCAAAGGGACCACAACATTTGATGATGGAAGTTCCCTGCACCACATTCTCCACTAACTAATTCCATGGCTCTTTGTCCTGCCCCCAGATGATAGCTCGAGGCAAGAACGCATCAGACCTCTTCCCAGCCGTGGTCAAAAACGTGGCTTGCAAGAACATAGAGGTAAGTCAACTTGTGCATGCATTCCCTGTGTCTACACATTGGACTAAACTAAACTGAAAAATCAGATGTTTGGAACAGATTATATTCTGTAACTCCAGTTGCATGGTTAGCAAACTGTGGACTTGCATACTTAACGGAGGGGAGCCAGCTAAGGGTGTTTCTCTGCTGAAGATTCTTCTAATTTTTTCATGGGTTCCAGCATTTTCAGATGGTAATTCTTATATATCCAAGCACATGGCAGCAAACAGGAAGAGCTGCCATCTAAAAAGACTCTGAGGGCACCAGGTTGCCTCTCCCTGGCCTGAGTAAACGTTATGTACTAAGGAGAGTTTTGGTTAAACTCACATTGTTTTCTGAATAAAGGTCATATGTGACATATATGCAGGGGTGGGATTCAAATTTTTTAACAACTAGTAATGTGGGTGTGGCTAGGTGAGTGTGGCTAGGTGGGCATGGCCATGTGACTGGGTGGGGGTGGCTTTTTTTGTTGCAGCAAACCCCCCTACCATTTTTTGGACCTTCCCTGAGCCTCAGGGAAGCTTCCTGGGCAAAGCAGTAAGACAGCGAGGGGGATCCCGGCACAGCTGATCATCGGAACAGCTGATCGTTGGGAGGGGGAAAAAAGAAATACTTTAAGGAGTGACCAGGCAGGGAAGAAGGCAGTCAACGATGTCGCGCATGCACGATAAGGACTGACTGGGTGAGGAGGGGAGAGGTGGGTGGAGAAGGGAGAGGCCAGCCAGGGGCATGATTTGCCAGTTCTCTGAGCTACGCAGAATCATCACAACCGGTTCTATAGAACCAGTCTGAACCGGTAGAATCCCACTCCTGCATATATGCTAATGTTGCTGTGGACTTCCAAGTTTGAACCAGGAAGCAATTGTCTTGGTCCAAACCCCTGCTTAACCCTGTGGATGTTGGTTGTTCAGTTGCTAAGTCGTGTCCGATTCCTTGCCAAGGGGAAGGGTTGATAGTTCAAGAAGAACATAAGCCAAGGTCTCAGTTCCTGCCTGATCCTTACGCCGTTTCCCTGCCAGGTGAAGAAGCTGGTTTACGTCTACCTGGTCCGGTATGCAGAAGAACAGCAAGATTTGGCCTTATTATCAATCTCGACTTTCCAGCGAGGACTCAAGGTTGGTCATTGAGATGCTCAATCGCTCTTGTAGGGCATGTGCTGATATAGAAGGTGTTCGTATTATGGCTGCAATTGCAACTACAGTCACCTTTCTTTTGTGGCAAACGCAGCCTGTCGTTAAGCAAGCCCATTATTCACTACGGACCAGCAAAACCATCATAAATAGTGGTCACATGACACTGTAAATGCGAGCCGGTTGCTGAGTGCTCCATATGTGGTCACATGACCACAGGGGAAGCACCCAATGTTGGAAAACCAGGTTATATGTAAGTAGCTCTTGGGGTACCTGTTGTAATTTCGAACTGTCACTGACCAACTGGTCATAATTCGAGGACTACTTGTAATGGGGACAGGGGTTGAATGGAATGTCCAAATGCCTTGAGCACTGGAGGTGATTTCCTCTGACTTCAACAGGTTTTACCTGTGTCCTTAGGACAGATAATCAGAGTTGGAAGGGACCTTGTAGGTCATCTACTCCAATCCCCCCACCCAAGCAGGAGACCCTACACTATTTCTGACAAATGGCAGTCCAGTCTCTTCTTGAAAGCCTCCAGGGATGAAGCTCCCACAACTTCTGAGGGCAATTTCTGTTCCTTGGTTGATTGTTCTCCCTGTCAGAAAGTTTCTCCTTATTTCTAGGTAGAATCTCTCCTTGATCAGCTTCCATTCATTATTCCTTGTCTGGCCTTCAGGTGCCTTGAAAAATAGCTTGACCCCTTCCTCCTCTCTGGGGCAGCCCCTCAAATACTGGAAGACTTCTATCATGTCTCCCCTAGTCCCTAGACTAGCCATGCCCAGTTCCTGCAGCTGTTCATCGTGTTTTAGCCTCCAGTCACTCTTTCCTGCTCTCTCCCCCTTTCTCTCCCTCTTCCTTTCTTTCTCTCCTTCCTTCCTTCTTCTTTCTCTCCTCTCTTTCTATCTTTTTGTTTTCTTTCTCTCTCCTTCTTTCTATCCCTTTTTGTTTTTTCTCTCCTTCCTTCCTTCCTTCCTTCCTTCCTTCCTTCCTTCCTTCCTTCCTTCCTTCCTTCCTTCCTTCCTTCCTTCCTTCCTCTTTTTCTTTCCTTTCCTTTCTCTCTCTCCCTTCAAATATTGGAAGACTGCTATCATGTCTCCCCTGGTCCTTCCCTTCCCTAGACTAGCCAGGCCCAGTTCCTGCAACTGTTCATTGTGTGTTTTAGCCTCCAGTCCCCTAATCATCCTGGTTGCTCTTCTCTGCATTCTTTCTAGAGTCTCAACATCTTTTTTATAATGTGGTGACCAAAACTGGATGCAGGGGTGGTCTTACAGCAGGGGTTAGCTTGAAATCTTCCAGCTGGGAAGAACGTTTGCCTTCAGGGTCTCGTCTCAATTTCTTCTTGGCTCCAGGATCCCAATCAGCTGATTCGAGCCAGCGCCCTCCGGGTCCTTTCCAGCATCCGTGTCCCCATCATCGTCCCCATCATGATGTTGGCCATCAAGGAGGCGGCATCAGACATGTCTCCATATGTGCGCAAAACTGCCGCTCACGCCATTCCTAAGCTGTACAGGTAACGGGGATCTCTTCAGAACCACGTCTTGGTTGTGCTAATTGCAACTGGTTCCTAATGAGAGATTTAGGCACCAGGCAGGGGTGCAAAAACCAAGGCCTTTTGAGGTTCCTTGGTCTAGAGGTGAAGGCATCAGACTAGAAACCAGGAGATGGTGAGTTCTAGTCCCGCCTTAGGCCTGAAAGCCAGTTGGTTGATTGTGGGCCAATCAACAGGAGACTGTGAATTCTAGTCCTGCCTTAGGCATAAAATCCAGCAGGTTGATTTTAGGCCAATCACCAGGAGA